GCCTCTTCATTGGGCGAGATTTGGACAGAGAGACGATTTTGAACATGTTTGTATTCTGAAGGACAGCTACTCCAGCTGCACTCCAATCAGCTTGCGTGTTTGGCAAGTCTGGTTGGTTGACACGTGGCTGGTTGACACGTGACAAGTTGACACCTGACAGGTTAACTTTCGGGTTAGGTTCCAAGCTGTTATATAAAGTCTCTATGTGACGGCCTCCTCGTGAGCGCCACCGGTGGATGCTTCGGTGCGATCTCGACCAGTGGATGCTTCGGTGCGATCTCGACGACGGCCGTTGCAGGGTTGATTGCCGTTGTATGGTTGATTGCCGTTGTGTGGTTGACTGCGTGGTGTGGAGGCGCATTAGATGTGCACCGTTTTTGTCAACTGGGACACGAAAGGGATGACGACTTCGCCCATGAGTTTGGTCTCCTGGGCTCCAAGAGTGACGTCGATACAATAGGACTGAAGGTTGTCGACAACGGTGTTTACTGCTTCGGAGAACAGCGAGCTTGTTTTGCGTTGGACTTGCGTTTCTTCGTCACTCGTGTTCGAACGGGCCGTGATGCAAATGGGGAGCGTCTGCGATCTGTAAACCTGCAAGGCCATGGGCAGTAGTAATGATGCCAGCCGGTCCTTGTAGAAGCCTACGTAGGCGATAATGCTGTTAGACCCCTTTCTAACTTGAACGCGAGGAATTGTTACTGGTCCTCCAACTAGGTCCTGGGACATCCAATCCAAGTATATCGGAGACTCTATCTTGATCTCTGTGGGCAAGGCAGACAGCACTGCCAGCTCAACAATCAAAGTGAGTTCGGGCGTGTTTGGAGGCACATACAACCGGCGCAACTTCAGGTCAATTATGCGATTTCCGCCGTCGCTGGAGTTAGAGACTGCACCACCGCCCAACTGTACAGTTTGGGCGACGTGTTTTTCGCTCAACGTCATTTCTTCATTGTTGATCCGGAGCCTGGCTGCCAGACTCATTTCTTGAGTTTTAATCAGTAAGGCTTGATTGAGTTCTAACAGACCAGAGAGCAGTTCCGTGATTGAGTCACCCACAGACAAGTTGGCTTCCAGCAGAACACGCTGCATCACCATTTTCCCTTCCAGCACCCCTTTCTGGACGTGCTCTTCGTTGGCAAATGTGTGGGCGACAGGGTCCCCCGATGAAGAGGAATTTTTGGTCGTAGCCGACAGCGCCTTCTCGCAGTTGTAGGTGTCGCTGCCGCTCTCGATGCGCCCGGCCGTGGCCGTCGCGGTCATTCCAAATCCTGAGAATTCACGCGCACCGAGAACAAAAGTCAAGTTCGAGGTAATGTCCGCGTCCACCAAATCCGTCTCCGCGAACGGAGTCCAAAACCCGGCGACCAGCGTGCCTGTTATGGGCAATGTGGAACCCAGCGAAACCGCTACCCGATCCAGCACCGACGCCAGAGGCTCTTTCCACTGAATAATCCCGATCGGGGACAGGGAAGCACCTCCGGAATACGACGCTGAGCTGCTTCCTTGTGACAAACCCGCCACTGTGTCCGCCACGTCGCCAGCAGCACGAAGACCCTGATTAGACGCCTCGCGCACGGCCATGAGTATGTTCGATCCCACTGCGCGGCCTACCTCGGAAAGCAATTGCCAAGCTGGACGGGCAGTCTGGCCATTCGACGGCACTGGCACAGAATCCCGCAGGGAACTGGGCTCCTCAATCCACGACTCATCACCACTGGAGGAACCACCGTTTGAGGAACCACCGTTTGAAGAACCACCGTTTGAGGAACCACCGCTTAAGGAACCACCGCTTGAGGAACCACCGCTAGAGGAACCACCGCCAAAGGAATCACCGCCTAAGGAAGCACCACTGGCTGGGGAACTATCGGCACCGGAGGAATTATCCGCAGCTGGCGAACTGCCGCTCAACGAACTAAAACTATTACTGGCACTTTGGAGGTCCGATAAGGTAGAGGTCACTGCCCTCAACACGCTCCCCATTATGTTGCTCAAGGGGTCCGCCTGTAGCTGACGCCTGCCACCGACAGCAGACGGCGAAACCAGTCTTCGGTCCCGCCCCCGTGCGTAGTAGCTGGCACCAGTTTCCTCAGAGAAGAACATCTCATCGCCAGACGACGGAGGATAACGCTGCACCGATGCGGCATCGTCTTCATAAAAGACCGAAGGAGCGCCGCCTCCCCCGTATTCATAAAGGGTAGCAGGCAACCTTCCGACTCGAGGTAAACCCCCTTTCTGGTATAAATCCCCCTTTTGGGGTAGACCTCCAGCATGGGCTGAACGCGAGTGGTGAATGTCTGCTAGTGGCTTCGACCAAGTCGCAGATACAGCGCGCCCAGCATTTATGTCGGACCCGTATCCGGGTTCCCACGCCTTGCTGTCTCCTGCTCCAGGTAATCTTTGCGCGGGAACCCACAAGCCGTGGTACGCTGAAGAGGGTTCCCGTTTGTCTTGGTAGCTATCCCAGTCCGTTGCACCGGCGTCGTACTCGTAGGTGTTATGTGTCCAACCGGTCAAATGGGGAAGCTGATAACCAGGAAACGGAATTCCGTTTGCTACCTGTTGGTCGTCCCCGAAGACCATTTTTTTCGAATCACGTTCATCGAACCTCGGATGAGCATATCCGATTTCGATAAACTCTCGGTGATAATGCCGATCATTCGATGTCAAATCCGGTCTCGGATCATTGGACCTAAGGTCATGAGATCCAGCTTCAATTACGTCATCCTCGTCACTCTGTTCCATGGGATACTGTCCATCCTCACCCGCATCATCCCTTCCCCCGTAGTATGCAGCCTCCCATCCCGGCTGAGACACTCTTAGGGCCCTTTTGATTTCTTTGCGTGTGGACCCCTTCTCTTTTAGCAGTCTGCGGAACCGACGGCGCTCGCCATGGAGCGCCCTGCGTGTTTCTCTGCTTGGAGTCATTAGTACCAAATCGCTGGGCCACGCCGGGAACCCTTGTCTGGAGTATTCCCCATTGTCCAAAACTATCCTGTTGTAGCTATCCATCTTCATGAGCGAAGTGGTTATAGTATCGCTAAGGCCAGTAGACTCAACATAAAGGTGGCTCACCAAACCGGATTCCAATGTGACATTTGGGAGCGGGAAGTCCATGTCAATTCCTGCCAAGGCCGCACTCAGTATTAAGTCGTCTTTCGGGAGCAGCGAGATGTTTACAGTGCCACCAGATCTCTCCTGTAGCTGTCGTCCCTCGACTAGATCCTCGTCGACTACTTGCGGTCCACCCCCCGAAGGTCCATCCACCGATGTCGAAAGTTGTCTTGGAGAGGACCAAATATCCCCCTCCTGGTTCGGGTCAAGGAATCTGGCAAAGACCCGTTGTAATTCGGGGCTGTTGATCAGCTTGCCTCTGAAGCGGAATGGATTGAGACTCTTCATGAAACCCAAGTTGGGCGTTTCCACTTCTCCGATTGTTACATTGTTCGATCTTATCTGCATTACGACCGATCCTAAACTATCTATTGAAATATTACCCTTGTTCATGACGTTACCCTCCACAAGTAGGGGTAGATGAACCGAAGAACTAGACTTCTCCAACAGACTAATTTTGTCAATAATAACGTTCTCCGGACTCAAAAGACCTCCCACGGCAGTCTGAGGTGGCACGCCAGCAGAGGCGTCTCCAGCAGCCTGCGCACCGAGCGTTCCGGCCGGCGGTACCGCTTCAGAGGCCGTCCCTGCCGAGGAGGTCGTTGACCCGCTGGAACTGTACGACGAGTTTTCCAAATCCGATGGCAAACCTTCCACCGTCGTCGGCGACGGCTCGACGATGGAAAGCTCGAAGTATCGGTGGAAGGGGATATTTCCAAACTTCAATCCTGCAACATGCACGTCAACTAAACCCTCCAAAAACCATTTCGTACCGATACCATTAATGGTAGCTCGAATAATCCTGAAAAACTCGCTGTCGTTCTCCACGGTCATGACTCCTGACGCGACGTATTTTGTCCGCGACGAACCATCTACTGAACTCTCATCCAGCAGCAAGGCTCCAATATTCACCAGGCTCCCATCTCTAGAAACTTTGGCCTTCATCTCGCCTCCATCTGGTTCACCTTCGTCTGGCGCCGCTTCATCCTCGTCCATTCCTCCGTTTGCCGACGTTCCAGCTAAATCCTGCAGCACTCTCTGGTCATTGTTGCGCAACAGCACACGTGTGCGGCGCGCATCAAAATATGGTCGATCGACATAATATACAGTCAGTGGTTTATTGTTAGTTATCCGGGCAGTAACCGCTGCTGGGCTCAATAATCTCCCCTGGACCTTTAGATTAAAACCTGTTCCTGTGACTTTTCCAATATCCGTAGATTCTGGAATCAATTCAGCCGAATTGACTATTTTCTCGATCTGATTTGGAACAACTATACAAAGTATGACGCTTAACCCAATACCAATGATCAACGTGGCAATCAACAGGGACGCTGTCAGCAATCTCCAATGCCTCTTGATCCAGGTCTTCCTGGTGCTGCTTTCCTCGCCAATCAAAAACTGATTTCCCACCGGCGCCATTTCAGAGGACTTCCTGCTGAGTTTCGCACGCAGCTCCTCCGTGAAGCACGACCATTTTGCTTGGAGGGTATCGAGGGCATCCAGGACCCTTTGCTTGAACGAATCTTGGTCTCTATTGGCAAAGTACAAGGACCTGGTGCTCTCTTGGTCCTCAAAATCGGTGCGCTGCAAACATTCTTCGTGCCTGGAGAGAAGTGCACCAGCTCGAGTTCCACCACCCCCAGACTTAGTCCCACCAACCCCAGGTTTAGCTCCACCAGTCTCGGCTCCAAGACCCTCGTGAGAAGCTATGTTATCTGGACAAGGGTCCACATGGAACCCAGGAGTACACCCCGCGGTCGAATGGCCCAAAGAAGACGTACCGGGTGACTCCTGAGAATCCTCGTTCACACCGCGCAGAGAAGCACCCCCGTTGACCGGAGAGACAGGATAGCCCCCGCCTCCGACATTGTCCCCGCTGCGCCAGTCATCGATCACCGGTCCCGCGACGACTCTGCCGTTTATGATGGACCCGGTTCGACGTAGCCCGGTCCCGGATCGACGCAGTTCGGACCCGGATCGACGTAGCTGGAGTCAGGCCGACGTAGCTCGGAGCCGGGTCGACGTAGTTCCGGCAGTGAGTGAGGCATTTGCGGAGTGACCGCACTGGCGGACTCCAGCGGTCCCGCGTCGTTCATGGACGCCTCCAGTTCAATTTGAGGCGGTCGCAGATTCTCCGCGTTCCCGATCTGAATGATGCACCCCGTCGAAATTGACCGTACGGGGAGCGTTGTGGAGGAAGGTCCGAGAGAGGCATCCAGTGAGGTCGCGGCCGCCGGGCGCGCCTGGACGGCGGAGGAAGCGATGGACGAGGCCGAGCGGTACAGCCCGAACCGCTGGTAGGTGGGGGGGACGTCCGAGAAGGCTCCTCCACTGCGCCTGAACGGATACTCGAAGCCAGCCTGGTAGATCTCCGGCTGGTATGTCCCTGGCTGATACGTCCCTGACGGATATGACCCTGAGGGGTATGTCCCTAAAGGGTGTGTCCCTGATGGATAGGTCCCTGGCTGGTAAACTCCTGGGTGGGCCACCTGCGGGTACTCCGAACGTGGCTGATCATTGTTCCCAAAGTGAAGAGGGTAGAGTCCTGCCCGGTCGAAAGTGGGTCGCCAGTAGGGGTTTTCTCGGGGCAGGACATGTGTGGAGTGATCGACGTGTGTGGAATGGTCGACGCTCGCGGCACGCTCCTCCGCGTGGTTCTCGAGACGCCGTGAAAAAGATCGGTACCAACGCTTTAGCCCGCGCATTCCGTCCCCGCGACTCGGAGCGCCGCCGCCTGTCGCCAGATCGGCGCCCGTTGGGTCGACGTCTGCGTCTGTCACGACCGAGTCAGCAGCCGCTGGCTCTGCAGCAGCCGACTCCGCAGCAGCGGCTTGCCCAGCCAGGACTTCCTCTGTGCTGCTCATAAAATATGCGCGACCAAGTATTTCGGATAATGTATGCCAGCGCTGAGCGCTGGGGCTCGTCGAAGCTGCTGCTTGCAATTCAAGCCGGGCTTTACTCCACAATCACGAGCTTACTAGTGAGCGACCCGAGGCTGCTTCACACAAGAAACTTCCTAGGAGACACTCCCACGTCCCTTCTCATTTCGCTAAGTAACTGTCATGCCCCCCAGTGGTCTCACTAGCTTTGTTCCCCACCGGGGCTGCCCCCCTCCCCCATGGGTTACGAAGTGTGTTGACGACGGGCGACTAGAGACCAGCGTGACGGGGTTTGTTGTAGGGGACGTGAAGGCGATGAAGGCAGTAGCGTCAGCGCGGGCGCCATGGCCTTCAAAGCTGTCTCCGTTCCACTGGGCAGTGGAGTTGGCGATGGAGGACGAAGAGGCGTCAGTGATTGCATGCCGGGAGTTGGGCGAGACGGCGTTGGAGATGATTAACGTGCGGAACTACAACGGGTTTACCCCGTTGATGCGTGCGGTGCGAGCGCAGTACCGGCGAACGGCGTTGACGTTAATTGCCTTGGGGGCGGATTGCGAGGCGGAGACGCCGAAGTTTTGGCACAACGAATGCTGTCGTGGTCCGGGTTCCTGGTTGCGAAGTTGTTGCAAACCGCGAGACTACAAACCGCCAATTTTCCTATGTCTGGTGCGGCGTGACTTTGCTTTGGCGCGGGCGCTTATGCAGTCCAGTCCGCTGGTCATGGAACATCGTTGGCTTGGTCGGGACGCGGAGGGAAGTGAGTGGCAGCGCGAGGTATTGGAGTACGCTAAGGAAACGGCCAAATGCTTTGAAGAATTCGTGGGCGCGGTGGCCGATTTGATGACCGGCGACCAATTGCTACGTGCAATCAACATACTCAAACTTGGCATCACCCTCGAAGAAGACCCCGAACCTTTACTAGAGGTCCTCCTCGAACGTGTCCCGCATAACTATCTAATTACGCGCAAAGAACTCCAGACCCTCTGTCTTGACGCGGAGTCTTTCTGCGCCATCAGACGCTCCCGAAAACTACTCCAACGATGGAAAGACCTAAGGCAGAGCGTCACTGAGCAAGTAAGCCACGATATACATGACGATATACCACCGGAAACAAGTCGGGGCATCATATACCGACCACCGAGCCCTGACATACCGGAAGGGCCCTACTCAGTTACCTTCCCAGAAGAGACAAGACGCGGGGGCCACGGCCTGGACCCTTCCAAGGCGCGTCTGAAATTACCGCGGCATGCACAGGCCACAGCAGACTTTGCCACAACAGAATTTGCCACTACTGTCTTTTCAACAGCAGACTTTACAATCACAGACTTTACATCAGACCAAACTATACCAGGTTCCAAAACGCTTTGTTCTACTACACTGTGTTCTACTACAGCGAAACCACGACGTTACGTTAATCCCTTGGAACATGGTAACGGAACCTCGGAACTGTCCGACTTAGCGGATAGTGGAGCGACGGGCACTGGAAGTATGGGCGGTGGGATGATGAGCAATGCTGAGTCGGAAGTAATCAGCGGACCGGAAGGGATGGAAAGATTCGGAAGACCGGATGGGGCCGGAAGACCGGATGGGGCCGGAAGACCGGATGGGGCCGGAAGACCGGATGGGGTCGGAAGACCGGATGGGGTCGGAAGACCGGATCCGGTCGGAAGACTGGATCGGGTCGGAAGACTGGATCGGGTCGGAAGACTGGATGTAGTCAGCGGAGTGGACGGGGTCGGTGGAGCGAATGGGGTTGGTGGAGCGAACGGGGTCGGTGGAGCGAACGGGGTCGGTGGAGCGAACGCCGATCGGACTAGAGGCCCCGGTAGCAGTAACGGGCCACAATGGACGCCGTTCCAGATGGCGGCACAGCGCGTGGCCGGTCCGGGGCCGCACTTGGACGCAGCTAGCACCACAAGCAGCAGTGCCAGCAGTCGACCTTTTGGACGCCTTGAGGGGTACGAGGAGTTTTACACCAACCAGTATCCGACCGATGAGCACGAAATAGACCTACCCGAATTTTTCTCGACCTGACGTGTCCCAAAGCTCCGGCACCTTCCAAATGCGTCAAGCGCTGAGTCATTTCCGAACTGCTGGCAAGCTCCAGAAAGCCCACGAAGCTGAGCACACAATGGCTCCGGTAATCCTTACAAGCAACCCGACCACCAGAGTAGCCGACCCGAACCCGAGCAGCCACCATGACTGACGATGTAGTGTATCACTCGTCCAGACTGACGATGTAGTGTATCACTCGTCCAGACATCCCTGCCGACGGAGAAGGTGTGCATGACAAGTATAGTACGTAGCAGTCTAGGCGTAGCAGACTTGGCCGACGTGCCTGATACTCCAGATGTAGCACGCTATCAGATGTAGCAGACTAACACCTCGATTTCGCAGACATCAAACCCAATAGCGATGAGCGCGGTGCCGAAGCCACATGTGTCTCACACCGTTCCGATTTCACAACCAAACTGTCCGCCGGACGTAGGCCGGACCTGTCCGAATAAGTGCCCGGGAAACGGAGCGTGTATGCATGCCTCAGGTGGTTGCCAGCAGTCGTGCCAACCGTGCACACGTGTGTGTCGGGTGATCTGTCGCCCTCTTCCGTGTCCTGAACCAGAGTCGGAGTCGGAATCCTCGGAGTCCGGAATTTCACTTGTCGTATCAGAGTCGGCGTCCGAAGAGTCCAGCATCTCCATCGAAGACCCAGATCCCATAACCGAAACAGAGTCCGAAGAAGAAGAAGAACCATGTGTTGTTAGACGGGTATGTCGTGTGGTGTGTACAACCGTGTGTGACAGCGGATGCAAACCCGCCAATGCAGCGTGTCCCATCCGCCCGAATTAAAGGCACTGTCACGCGGCTTCACACTTTCTGGGGACAGACCCCCAGGGCAGGGTGCCCACGTTACTGTATCTGAGTCAGGCTTCGCGTTTGACCAAGTGCAGCCGATGATACCGGTCGATTACGACAGTTCGCGCCTAACTTGTGCACCCGATAGGGTCCGATCCGGCGACTCTTGACTCGATCAGACGAACGTCTTCGTGGAAGACCCCATAGAAAACCCCATGAAAAGCCTGGTGGTTTGGTTAGACCCCATGGACCTGGTGGTAAGACCCCATGGACCTGGTGGTAAGACCCCATGGACCTGGTGGGAAGACCCCATGGACCTGGTGGTAAGACCCGATGGACCTGGTGGCAAGGCCCCAGGGTGGTAGGCCCACGGAAGATCCCGTGCAAGACAAACAGTCGGTAGAAGAGGAGTCGGTTAAAGAAAGGTTAGTAACGTTGCGAGCGAAGGCGCGACTCGTTTTGTTGTTGTTTGTTTGTTGCAACAATTTGCTTGATTTTTTGTTTATAAGATGGCGTATACAAGTCTGAATGGTCAGCAGCTGAATCGTCGGATTGGGTTGAGGGAGCCTGAAAAGCCACCAATGCCGGAGGTTTGGGAGAGCCGACCGCGTAGCACGAACCCTTTGTCTCTGGATGAGATTGGGGCTGATCTGAAGAAGAAGAATATGATGCCGGCTGGGCAGCCGTTGCGTGCAACTGTTTATTGCACAACGCAGCCGGAGGAAGTTCGGCCACGGGGTGCTGTCCCTGAGGCTTACGAACAGATATGCCGCAGAATGGGACTGCCCACGGAACACTTGGTAGAGGCCTTTGGGGCAGAAGGCTTCCGGGTAGACAAGTGCTTTAGCGCGTGGAAGGCGGGAACGGATGTACTCGAGGTGTGGAAGGTGGACTTATTCTTATCCCCTTTCGAACCCCTCATTAAAATCTACTTCAGGAGACATAAGACCAGCAGACTCCTTCTCCCAGACCTCTACCTACAGCCACTTACACACCCCATGGCCGTAGACTGCTTCGCAGACTACCAATGGCCCAACGGGGACAGGGAACTACTCGATATTCGACACACCAGCTGCGTCGTCGGCTCCTTCCGAAACGCGCGAGAACCAGTGCTCTTCGTCTGTGACAATGAAACACGCCGCAGCGTAAGTGTACACACTCCCCGTCACTATTCTGCACCACCTGGCTGAACACCTTCCCACCTGGCTGAACACCTCCCCCCCCCCCCCCTAACGAGCACGCGCACGGGTGTGAGTATGTGACCACACATGTGTGACTGCTAGTCTTTGATCACGATCTTGGCGGTGGTGACTGAGTTGGCTAAGATCGAGCACGTGCGACGGCGAGAGAGGTTTGTGAGTCGTTCAATGCCGACGACTATTGGGCGGCAAGGCGACCCGGGTTACAGTGAAGAGTTGAATGCGCATTTTGCGGAATTTCTGCACGAAGCCGCTTTGCGTCTGGGCACGAGTGCGGCGTGTGCCAAGTACTGGCGACGTTCTCGGCGTACGTGGGTATTGACCTGGAGTGGGAAGAAGTATGTGAAGAAACGTTATTATTTGACGATCCATCGAAACCAGCCGTTTTTGATGACCTTGAAAAGTGAGACGAAGACGGGTTGCTTTACGGAGGAGTATGACTACACGGCCCATTCGAGTAGTCGTGCATGTAACTCGGTCACCCAGAAGCACAGCTGGTCCTCCTTTATGAAGTCAGAGCGGTTGGCCCCGCACCTGACCTTCGTGGACAACATGCGGGACGACAAGCCGCGCACCTTCTTCTCATTCGAGACGAGCGAAGACCTAAAGGACTTCCAACAAGTCATCGCCACTCTCGGCTACATACACCTCCGCAAGGAAGCCGGCGCTGAAGACACTTGGTCCTGTCCCCAGAGCTCCAGCACAGACCCAGCCATGGAAAAAACCCAGTTGGGAGTTCCGGGAAACAACCAGCTGGCTGTTCCCGCGCAGGGGTCGTGTGGCCAGATTTCCAGCAGCGTCTTGGTCAGCAACAACGTGGGGGACTCGAGTGGTGGGTCGCCGCAGTTCTACGAGGCGCCACCTCTCTACGTCTCGTCGGCCGGGGAGCCGGGTCATGTTTTCACAGCCAGCTCGTTTATTCCAAATCCCGCCTCAACCGCAGTCGTGAACGCAGACGGCATCCGTATGGTCCCACGGCGGGCGCCCAAAGGTTCGCTCTTCGCCCCGCCGGCAGAGGAGGAGGAGGACACGCCCTTCTACAACTCTTATGGGCTGACTACTGCGGTATCTTCGACCACGTCATCCCCTTCGACACCGGGCACTCCACGGGACATGCACTCCTCGCCGCTCAAGAACACAACCGCGCCGATGGCTGCTGGAAAGGTCGCCACTTTCCTCCCATCCCTCGACTCCAGTGCCGATCCCAATGCTGGTCCAAACGGCCACCTCCTCAACGCCGTGGGCGCAAACGGACTGCGGAAGCATCGAGTCCCGCTGGGCACTGTAGAAGCAGCCCCGCGGGAAACAGCTCCGGTGACCCGACTACCCGAATCTCCGACCGCGCCAACGACTGGTAACGTGGGGGTTGGGGTCGTGCACACACGAAGACGGTGGCAAGAGATCGTTAACTTCGGACCAGACGGACAGGTCATAAGCGAAAAACATGTGGACCTAGGCACCGAGTGCTGGCAAGATGATACCTTCTACGCACCCGTGACTAGAGCCACATCCTCAATGAAGAAAGATCTGGACGCATCGAGTGTCGAGTCGGACTACGACTAAGCACTGTTATTTTGCTAGCTAGGTTCTAATGAATATCTATCACTTTTTTCACTGTATTCAACTACACTCGTACTGTACTGTATTGACCCACGCTGACTGTACTTGTTCACGGTGTACTCATCACCCAGGCGGCACTCACCCGCGCTGTGCTGCACTCCACCCACTCGCACCATACCATATCGCAAATTGTCGACTCGCCATTTCGCGAAGGACAACATGGGTCGGTGCGTGCATGTGCATTTGTGGGCACAATGCGCGTGTCAGCAGGGACAGTGTTTTTGAGTGCGGTATGGGGCGCATCATTTGGCGGTTCCTCGGAGTACTGTCATGAGGAGCGTGCGCAGATGCGTTTGTGGATCCACCAGGACGCGACGGCGTCATTCGGGAAAAAGGATGATGGCGAGCGAGGAGTACGTTATGTAGAGGCTCTACGTGACTTGAAGAGTAGTGTGCCGGATTTCGACGTTGGGATGTCATACTTTAAGGATCGGGATGACGGATTAGTTTGCTTCGCTGCTATCACAGAGTTGGGCGTCAACAGCTTTCTGGGCTTCGACTTTACCTTGACACAGATCGAAGAGGGGATGAACAAGCTCAAGTACTCTACCACCCATGACTCGGCTGAAGACGCATTCACCGGTTTGCCTTGGGTCATGTATCAGGAGTTCCAGGAACCGGCTACGGAGCGAGACTTTCGCGCAATTGTCATTGTCACCGATAACGAAGGCAAACTTCATGGCGTCCAAAATTCCGAAAGAGTCGACACGGAAGGCACAATACCAAACACCACTCTCCAAACAAGTTACAACTGCTCCCCCGATTACCAATTACTCTCACCTCACGATCTATTCGACGCCTTCCGACAACGCTCCATCCGGCCCATCACTCTCGTAACACGCGAACACGCTACATGGTGGCGTACTCTTTACGAAGACAACGGCTTCTCTCTCGATAGCGGTGAAGCCATGGTCTTCGAAATAGAAGACATCAGAGCCACCACCGTCAGCCACGCACTTAAACAAGCTATCCATGACTCCAGCTGCCACACACCCACCACCACCACCACTAAGCCAACGACCACGACGACGACCACTCCGACGACCACAACCACCACCACAACAACTACCACCACCACTCCGACGACCACCACGACCACTACACCGACCACCACTACCACACCGCCGACCACCACTACCACACCGCCGACCACCACTACCACACCACCGACCACCACTCCGGCGAGTACCACCCCTGTCCCCACGACCACTACGCCGGCAAGTACGACGCAGAAGCCGACGACTACGAGAACGGCCGTGCCCACAACGGGCCGGGTTACAACCGATACCACCAAGGCCGTGACCACTACCAAGGTTGTGACTACGACGACTAAGACTGCGACGACCAAGACCGCGACGACAGGCCAGAGTTCGTCGACGACTACTGAGGCCGATGAAAAGGGGGGCGTCAACACGCCGGTGGTGGTGGGCAGTGCGGCTGCGGGCGTGACTGCGTTGGCGGGTGCCCTGGGTGGGTTGCGTTACATGCGGAATCAGCCGGCGGACTTAGCGGTGGAGGAACAGATGGATGAGGGCGAACGAGTACCCGAGAATATGCGCGAAGCCCAGATCGAGATGGACGAAGACGAGTACTATTAGGGGTCGTTTCCTTGCTTGAACTGACTTAATGATTGGTGAATGAATGATCCATGAATGCGGGGTGGGGGGCTTGAGAGGAGGGGAGCCAATGAGCGCGGACAAGACACGAGGGGCAACGCGTCTGGGCATCCGTCGGCTGTAACGTAGGGAGCGTAAGGCAGATGGGGGCGAAATACTCAGTGAGGGGTCGAAGTCAGTGGGTCTCGCTTAGGTCTTGGAGGAAAGCGGCAAACGTTTGCCGGGGCGAGAAGAGCGCGGAAAAACCTCCGATGAAAATCCTGTTGCGCTTTTGGGTCACACAAGCGTACTTGGCACACGCGGATTTGGTCGGAGAGTCAAGTCTATCTGCGCGCCGCATCAAGGAATTGGTTGCAGGTAACCGCGACGGGAAGTACCACTCTCTCGCTCAGACGTTTCGCTGGACTTGCTACCGGTTCTCTCATCGTCTCTGTTGGAGGCAGCTCCTTTGGAAAAGAGCGGCGACTCTTCATCCCCAAAAAACTGTAAGACCTCACACCCCTCTCCTGCTGCGTCTCCGGAAAGAGAAGAAACTCGTCTGTCCAGTTGTCCTTGAGCACTCATGCTTGTCCTTGCGCACTCATGCTTGTTCATTCACTCGTGCCGGTGTGCTTGTCCGCGTGCTGGTACGGGTGGTTGTCCGGTACTTCTCCAGCTCTTGCATGCATGCAGCTCTTCCTTATCATGCCTCTTCAGTTTTAGAGTGCTCTCTGGTTGCCGTACTTTGTAAGCTGCTTCCATTCGAAGCATATTACGACCCCGTGAAGCAGCGTTGCGTACGACTGAGCTTCCTGAAGCGACTACTTCTGAAGAGTCGCGAAAGTTTGGTTCCCGCTGATATTTGCTTCGTTGCGAAATCCAAGTCTTTAAGCGACTATCTTCTGAGTGAGCACAACCAAAGTCTCTTTCTTTAAGACTACAGCGGACGGATACAGCGGACGGACAGATTCTTGTTAGCTAGCTGTAATAACTGGTTGTGACCAACCGAACCAAGAAACATTCCTCAAACTTAGACGCGGGATGAGGAGGACCAGAGCATATGGGTGGTGGACGTTCAGCTGTTCCATTTTAGTATGCCTGCTTTCTGCAGTGGCAGCGTTCCAAATCTCAGGCTCGACAGAGATCAGTATACACGCCCTGCGGGAGCTGGAATCGGCGACTTTGACCAACGCCGCGATGGTTCCGACGAACACAGAACTTCTTAAACAATGTCTCGGGCCGAAACTCTGCACCATCTTAGGTAGCAGAGTCTACTATGACCCGTATAAAGGTAAGCTGCAATCCATCCATCGATCGATGAGCTTGTGTGCGAAATAACGCTCGAAATACCGAGATTTCGGTGGCACACTTTCGGTGGCACACTTTCGGTGGCACACTGAAGTCAAACACTCCTCAAGCCACTCTCGAGGAGCTATACCAAATAATACTAGAGAGATAAGACGGGCCGCTAGTCTGGGTTGCAGCCGTACACCAGGGCCTGAGAAGCACGCACGCGCACGTGTGACTCATCACGTGTATTTTGTAGGGCGATGCATCCAACAGGGACTACTCGATTCCGGAAGGCCGCCGCCTGAATACCCCGAACTTCCACAGGCTTGTTCTTTGGGCATGCGGCTGCACGAATATTTAAAGCAAACAGAGACCAGGACAACCCAGATCAATGCGGGAACATCTCAATCGGAGATATCTCCATCACTGTGAGACACATAAGGCCAACGCCACTCCTCCTAAAAGACACAGAGGGTATGTCAACGCGGCCAAGATCAAGATCATGCATGGCCAAGATCAAGATCATGCATGGCCAAGATCAAGATCGCGATCGATCAAGGTAGTAACCAAGGGCAAAGGGGCATCAGTAATCACAGGGACGGCAACCAAGTGAAGCCACGGCAAGCAAGTGGCCGTGTCCACCGATCATATCCAACCAGAAGTACATTGTCA